TTGCTCAGAGATTTTGAGGCCTAAGTAGTAGAATTTTGAAAATTTTCTTCTGGAAAGTGATAGATCTTGTCTAGTTGATAAAAATGAACTTCTTATGCAGAGTATTTAAATATAAATTTATGTTGTTATGGTTGAAATATAAAGAATTTAGATGAAAATAGAAAATGCAATGAATTTTTTCTTATAATTTTATTTATACAATTGTTTACCTACGAGATATAATGTTATTTAAACAATCTGTTCGTGCATGAGTTGACAATCAATTTAATATAATTATTTTTCACTTATCTTTAAATGACACTTCTACATGCAAATGATAGAAACAACAGCAACTTGCACAAAAAATTCTAATGCAAGAGAGCTAAAATTGAATGTTTTTAGGCTCCCAAATGAAGTTGGATCATCTTGAAAATTTTATGCATGACTAAACTATGAATCAATTATTCGTCCATGAAATTTTAAGTGAACAAGATTTTGTTTGATATTTTTATAAGATGTAAAGCTATGGTGATGCTATATATTTTAATGCTGAAATTTGAGCTGTTAGATCTATAATTGTCTAACACCAAACCCTTACTAACATGTCCAATGAGAAAGATTTCGAGAAATGTAGAGAGATAGAGAGGAAGAAAGAGTTTAGATTGAGAAATTATAAAATTTTATTTGAATGAGTTTTAGTCTAGAAAATCTCATTACTGCAACTCAATCTTGAGCCCCACATCTTTAAGTTTGGGTTGTTGTTTGATGCTACAAGAAAGGCTACATATTGAGATATGTTAATAAGAAAAAGTACATCTTAAGGCATACCGGTTATTGTAAAATATACGAGGAGTGCAGCCTTGTTACATTTACATTGGTTAATAATTAAATTAGATACTTCAATAATTGAGGTCTCATATTTATTAGCTGAAGTTGTTGTGGGAACAAGTCTTCAGATCAATTTACTTAATTTTTCTATAAAAATATTGGCAAGTTGATTTTGAGCCATGAATATGGCTGGAATGGATTGTGAGGTGAAGTCATGATAATTCTATCGAGTTCATTATAAGCTTTGAGAGTTTGTTTTGGACTTAGCGAGTTCATTATGATCTTTGAATTGGAACATTTTAGCCCGAATCAGGTTTTTAAAATATTGAGATGTACATGTAAGTTCCTTAATTCTCTTATATTTCTAAAACATAAAATTGAAAATAATAGAAGATTGAAATAGTAATATATTTTCTAAAAAAAGATTTCAACAGCCTTACCTTTTTTAAAGAGCTGACTCAATGGAAAGAGCCGTTGGATTCACATCTCTCTCCCTATCATTTCTTCTATACCTAACCCTAATTTTATTTTGTCCTTCACTTCCTTGTCATCTTCTAGGCAATCATTCCTTCGAGGTAATATCATTGACCTTGCCATCAATAGGGATTTAGAAACAAGGGTAGAATTATGAGGATCTTTTAATTAAATAAAGCCATCTTCAAACTCCTTTATGATAATTAGAGGGCAATAATGATTTTGATTAATCATTGTTAAGAGGAAACACTTAATAAGAGATTGTGCAGGAGCGAACACGTGTGTGAACTACCGTGGATGAGGCCACTAGTAGAAGCGTGTGTGAGTGCGCTGCAATGTTAGGGCTGGATGCAGTATATAAACCAAGCAACATCACAAAGTTATATGTAGACAAGGAAGCGATATTAACATACATACAAGTGATAATGTAGATTGAGCATTACATAAGTAGTTGGTTGGGCAGGCGTGGAAGCAATCACAAGTGTTGAGAATTGGGGGACCGGGGGGACAAGCTGTAGATGCAAGTGAGGGTAACTTGAGATCGGTTGAATGCAACTACACGAGAGAGTGTAGTAGAGCTTGGGATAGGATTAAGGTCAATGTGAGTTAAACTTGGTGGAATTTGGAGAGGGACATCTTTTTTTTTTCTAGAAAAATATTTGAGCTCTAATATCATGTTGAGATTATTTAAACTTATTGATTTATTCTATTATTAAATACAATAGAAAATAGGAGGAAAACAATGGAAGATAAAGTGGAAGATATCATCAATTATAAATATATATTACAACAGTAAAACTAATATTGAAGATTAAAGCTCTCTTTTGGGGGGGGTGCTGCTTCTCAGCTTTTGGGCTCGCGCTTCCTATGTTTTTCAGCTGCAGCTGCAGCTGCAGCTGTAGCTGCGCCAGAAAGCAGCTGCGGGGAAGCTTACTGTCTGTTTGGTGCAGCTGTGTGAAAACAATTATAGAATTGTTTCTTAAAAAATGATCATTCTGCCCTTGTTTGATAAAATTGTTTAAAAGAAGACTGTAACAACCAAATTTTTGAAACTCCATGAGCAAATTTATTATGTAATAAATTATTGAAACTTCAAAGTGTTAAATATGTAACAAATGTAATTGTTAGGTAATTAATTAATTATTGTAATGTAATAAATTTAAGTCTTAGAAATTTGTATATATGGGATTGATTAATTTATGTTAAAAGTTTAGCTATTAGATAGGTAAATATATGAAATAAATGGCTTGTTAGAGGAATGCTCTTATATTGAGTGACATGAATGTATTTAATATATTTTTGATTTAGGAATTTACATATTATTAATGAATTAATTTAAATAATATTATCAAATGCCGATCAAAACTTTAAACAAAGCCTAAAATTAAAAGGATGTCTTCCCGTTTTTTTCTCCAAATTGAAATATACTTTCATTCATAACTTTTATAACATTTAAATGTTAAAAGTATATCAAACTTTGATGATCAAACACCTACACTTTAATTTTTCATTTACATCACTCAAATGTTTCATAGCACATTTAAAATACTCCCAATTAAAATTTTAAAACTGCTATTCTTTTGTGATATAAAATACTTAGTTGGTGGAAATGTAAAATGAAAACTTTAGGTGATGGATATGTAAATGTAAATGTTGCTAAAAAAATATACTGCGAATCGTAGTATTTATTTTGTTGTATATTACAACAACAATTCATCGTTTACATAACAAAAAAATTCATAATCATGGATAACTAATGTTAAGTCCAAATTTCAATGAAAACAGTCCAGAATTACATAAACACATCTCAAGTGACAGATAGTATTAGGAGTGCAAAAAAAAAGTCTAAAACTATTACAATGACAATTAACAAGATAATAATATTATTTTTAACATTTATACGGTGCAACTCTCGTGCCAGACTTTCTTCAAGTGATGTTTTTCATTCCCGACCAACATCATCAGAGGAATCCACTGAACCGTCTGCCCAACGGAAGAAGTTACATTGTTCGGTGATGCTCCGTGGGCAGCTATAGAACTTTCTCCTGTAGCTGTGTGGCCTACGTGACATCAACAGTGAGGGTTCGAGGCTACAGTGACAGTATTTGTCAGAATGTCCTGGAAATCCGTGAGCTCATTTTTTCCTGATTACAAAAGAAGAGGAAAACACAGTGCAGGTGTAACAAGATCTTTATTTGTATTAGTATTTTATTAGTACGATAAAGATAAACTTTGAATGAGAACATTTACAAAATTTAGGAAAATTTTACGCAATAGTAGCGTTAAAATTGTAGCAATAGATACGATATACCAACAATACAAGTATGAATTTCACATCACTATTACTAAAATAATTAGTTTAATAACGAAATACAGACAAAGCAATTAACGTTGTTCAATCATGTTGACCTACATTCACGGGAAAGAAATCAAATATCTTTATTAAGGTAATAAAAAAGAAGATACATAGCTTCCAATCAACAATGTCTCATTGGCATTGCTAACAGATGAAAGTATATAAAAAAAATTGTCTGGCCATTTTCATACATGCAATATATTTCTTTCTTTTTGAAAAAGTTAGATAATGCCTTCAATGCAGCTGCTGAAAATCGACAAATTGGATCAACACAGTATCCATACATAGCATCAGCTCCATAAGCAGCTATCACCATAATTCGAAGAACAGGTTCATTAAAGATATCAAAACAGGTTCAGATGCAAACAGAAAAATCTTTGAGACCCCAGCTTTGATTAAAGAAAATAACAGAAATGAATCACCATGGCACATCAATGTAGCAGCGGTTGCCCTTGAATTCATGGGCCATCCAAGCTGCTCACCATGGCACTTGAATGGGAGAAATCTGTGAATCAGCCAAAAAAGAAATAAACAAACTCCTTTATCTTGTTTCATGACATCAATTCTGGGTCATAAGTGTTTCAAGATCATTGATTATGTTCAAACACACAAATATTCATAAATTTCGTGTGAGAGTAAGCAGACAATGGGGATGCATAGAGTAGCTTGGATGGACATAACAAATTTTCTTACCCTTGTTGTGAGGAGATCACGAGAACGGGAAGAGAAGGAGAAAAAAAGAGGAGAAGACGAACAGGAACCGTTACCGGCCGGAGAAGAGTAGAGGAAGGGAAGAAGCTCGCGGCTTCTCTTTTGCGGGATACGATATAGGGGCAAGGGAGTAAAAATTGCGTCCATGAAGATGGGCTGCGCCTATTATCCTGATGCTCAACTTTTGCTCGGAACTGCGGGAAGTGGCGGCAGAAGAAAGAACTGCCGAACCAAACGCCGAAACAAAAAAGAAAAAAAATTACGGGGCGGCGGGACAACGAACCCTAATTCTTCTCAGTGTTGTAATCTTCTGATAATAGAGCCATAGTTACTCATGAAACATGTTTCATTAATGAATATGAACTAGTATGTTATCTTTGATCATTGTATACAATCCCTTGAACTTGCTCATGAAGGACAGCATAGCATATTTTGGCTAACTATTGCATTTTTATGGTTTAAAAAAGATTAACATTCTATTCACTGTGGTTCATTCTATTTTTTCTTTTTTATTCTAAATATACACTGAAGTTGTAGATATTGACCTTTTGTTGTTGGCTTGCTTATGTAATTTATACCATGGATTAGTAGAACAAGTATATTCTGTATACTCTGCAGCGTTTTATATTACCATCTTAAAATGTTCTTACAGCACAGTTGAAGATGATATATTCATAGACCAGCTGGATTCACCTGAAATAGTTGATGATTTAGAATTGGGCCAAGATGAGGTTGTTGATGTCAAAGATAAAAATGTAAACAAACAGAAACTACAGCGTAGGATCAGTCAATACAAGGTTTGTCAACATAATGGAGCTGCAAATTGTCAATACAACAGTTTTTTTCGCATCTGTGAGGTCATGCTAAACAAATTCTCCATTATGTTCCGCTCTTAGCTTGAAATCCCGATTCTTGTGCCAGGAGCTTCATTTACACGCTTTAGGTTATTGCATTCAAGCTCTTGTTTTTCTATGCTTAATGTCCTGCTCAATGTTTCTATCAGATCAAACTTCGGAATCCATGTCGTGATGGGAAAAAGCTTCTAGTTTTGGACATTGATTATACTCTCTTCGATCACAGGTCACCAGCTGAAAACCCTCTGGAGCTCATGAGGCCATGTATGTCAATCAATTTTGTACTCCATAATCAACCTTTATATTTTTATTTGATGCAAGATATATGTGCAGATTTGCATGAGTTTATGTCTGCTGTTTATGCGGAGTATGACATCATAGTTTGGTCGGCGACTAGGTCAGGTCTCACCTCTTAACTGCATGAAATTTTTTTAGGTTAGCTAAATTACTTGGAGGAAGGTGCACTAATGTGTATGGGTGTTTAGTTTTGCCTGTATTGTGCTCCGTGCGGAAATCTTGACCCTCTTGGAATAAATTCATAGCAAAATGCATACCCATTTGTGCATCTTCCTCTATGTATGCATTGGCCACATAATCATTGCTCCCATTAGATGCCCATTTCTTTTCCTGAAATAAGTTTGATTAGTTTTGTGATTGTGTGAATCGATATGCTTGCAACTTTCTTTATATTGTAGCATGAAGTGGGTTGAGTTGAAGATGGGACAACTTGGTGTATTGAACAATCCCAACTACAAGATAACGGCTCTCCTAGATCATCTGGCCATGATCACCGTTCAAACTGATTCCCATGGGACTTTTGATTGCAAGCCACTTGGCCTAATTTGGGCTAATTTCCCCAGGGTTTTGTACCTCATATCTGAAGTGCCTTCTCTCTTACTTAAGTTTAATATTCATATGTTATTTTTACTCTTTTGCAGTTCTATAGCTCAACGAATACCATAATGTTTGATGATCTGCGAAGAAATTTTGTCATGAATCCACAAAATGGTCTTATCATAAGACCTTTCCGGAAAGCCCATCTGAATCGAAGTACTGACCAGGAATTGGCGAAGCTTACTCAATATTTACTGGCCATAGCTGAACTTTCTGACTTTAGTTCGCTTAATCACAGAAACTGGGAATCATACACAGAAGACAGCTCTAAGAGGCGCAGGCACAGGTTGCATATTTACAGTACAAGTTTTAAATTTTTCTTGATTTGTTTCATTCCTCTTGGTAGAAGTTCATTAAATTTTTTTTTATTTTGGCAGCTGAAAAGGAGAAACGTCCTTGGCTATAGGCATCAATGAAGATATATACAGCTACCGTTTACTGGGAGATGCAATTTACCTGATCACTTGTTCTGTCAGAACCTAAAACAATTGTTTCATTTAGCTACTTTATTTACTGCTGTTTACATTATCTTGTTTGTGCGGTGATCTGCAACATCGGTTTAATTACAGCAGTAAATACTAATTTGCACCATCTTGCTGAATGTACAGTTTGCTTTTGCTTATGATCTCTTTTGTTTAATTTTTTTGCTGCATTGAAATATGCTACTGCTTTCTTCACTTCTGTGTATTCATTAGTACAGTAATGCAGGATACTGTTGAGAACTCTGGTTAAATTTAGGGCTACTCTGCCATTTGCCCTTTATAAACTATATTTCTGACAAGCAGATGCATGTAGGATCGACAATATTTTAAAGATGTCAAATTTGTTTTCCAATATTATATTGAGTAGTATTGCATAATAACGTCGAGGAATATTTTAAATTACTTTATGTTAGAAAAAATTATTGTAAAGTTTGTGTCGGGATGGTGGAGGATAGGGAAAAAAATTGCGTACGTCAAGGGGTACGCAGAGATGTGTACATAATAGGGTACACAGGATTTATACGGGGATTACAAGGGGGTTATAACCCGTTGTACCTCCCGTGTAACCCCGCTGTAACCTTGTAATCTCAATGGATAAAATAAAAGCGCGGGTTACACTTGAGTTACACGAAAGTTACAAGGAAGTTATAACACGTTTGTAACTCTCATGTAACTCCCATATATCGCCCGTGTACCCTATTATGTACACATCTCTGCGTATCCCTTGACGTACGTAAATTTTTTTTCCGGAGGATAGGGTTAATGTTATGAAGGGTGAGCGGTTGGCTAGAGTTCAGCGTTTAGGGTTCTCATAAATGATTCGAAAATAAATTTAATTAGTTTTTGAAATAGATGTATTAATTATTACATGCATTCTTGGAAAGAGGATATTTTTTTTGGGTAACTTGAGGATAGGTTTTAGTTGGATGTGTTAAAATAGGATTTATGAAGAATAAGAAGTTGGAGAAATAATCTTTAATTTCATGGTAGTCTGAATTGATAATTGTGCATTTATTATGAAGAATAGGTTTTAGATGGGTGTGTTAAAAATAGGATTTATGAAGAATATGAAGTTTGAGAGATGATGAGATTTAATGTTTAATATTATGGTAGTCTGAATTTATGATTGTGCATTTATTATGAAATGTTCAGTATTTAGTAAATTCCTTTGGTAGCTACGGAAGGGTTTTTTTATTTTTTTGTTAAGAATTTGTTTGGTTTGCTGAAAATGAAGTGCAATGTAAAATGTTTGCAGAGTATTTGTTAATGTATTTAAAATATTTTATGATTGTTTGGTTCACTGTAAAATAAATGTAGGATTTTATATTTTATTGTTTGGTTTGAAGTAGATTAAAAATAATATAAAATTTTATTTGGGAGGCGGGCGGTGGGCGATGACAACGGTCAGCTGTCTGGACGAGGGGTGTCGGCGGGGTGATAGTTTACCGATAGCATTTTACAGTGTAATTCAAATTCGGTCAAATTGGTCGAGTTTTAAATTCAACTAAAATAAACTTACGAGTGAACTTTTAATTTATTTAAACTTTCCATTGTACTTATACTTTTTTTTTCATATTAAATACATAATTTCCTGAAATATCTGTAAATGAATTATAGTAAACCACGAATCATTCCAACCAAACAGCTCTTAAAATTTAGCGTTTGAGAAATGGAATGATAAATTATAAGATGGTTGGTGATGTCGGTGGTGATAAGTACTTGTTATGTTATTTTCATCATTGCTAATATACATGGCCTCGATTAAAAAACAAAATTTAAGATGACATTAATGAATGCTTATTTTAGCCGGTATAAAGAAAGTGTTCGAATTAGATTTTTTTTCTATGTAAAATAATATTAAATTTATATTTTGGAAGAAAATCTAACTCTTGATTCCTAAAGTTTCTAAGGAATCATGCCCAAGAAATATAGCGTAAAAAAAAGAAGGGAATAAGAGACAAAGAAGAGATGAATAATAAAAATGAGAGTATTTAACTCTATAAATTGATCTCCTATTTATAGTTATAGAAGATACCAAGAATATATAATTATCTCTAAAACCCTTCTCTATCTAAGGAGGCTTGGGGGTAATAAAGTCATTTGTACAGTTTAAACCTAGAAATATAATTAATAATAAATTAATTGGTTGATCATGGTGGCTCTCGGTCATTAGTACGCATCCATTCGTTCGGTGATGGTGAACCGAATAACATGAGAATGATATGAATGCCTCTCGATTAAGCTCATATGTGGCTTAGCTTCAGTCTTTGGACCGCCTCCCTCTTTGGTATAGAGTAGGGTTGTCTTTTGTTTGAACTAGCATAAAGTTGTCCTTCGTTTGTACTAGCGTAGATCTGTCCTTCTTTCGACCTAGCGTAGAACTATTTCTTGTTCGACATATTATGTCGGTTGAAAGACATATTGTACGAAGTAACTTATCAGAATTGAGACATCTTTCCTCCGATTTACCATTAATTTTTACTCTAGTAAAGTAAGCTACTGTTTAATCAGATCTCAATATACTTTTATCATGGGTCCCTCTTATTTTGTTGTAACCACATTTTTCTTTGAGATTCGTGTTATCATGATCTCATTATACATGTTTAGTTCACCAATTTTCTTATCTTTAGAAACTGACAATTGCAAAAAAAAAACAAGAATATTAAATGCTACATTAACTTCATCTATTTCACAAATAATTCTTAATAATTATACTTCTTGGATTTTTGTGCATTGTCATCCTATAAATAGGCTGTTATTGATGACCCTCACACCCGCACTCTCTTCCTGTTCAGAGGTTTGGTCCTTCCTTATTAAGTGTTTTCATGGAGAGCAGTAAGAGGGTCCATCCAAAAGAGCAGTTTGATGCTATTTTGAAGAAGGCCTTTGGACTACCAACTGACAAAATCTATCTCTTAAGTATTCTTACAAAAAATCATCAGCCTGAGAGTGGTTTGGTAAGTGATGGAAGAAAACATCCTGAGGGTAGTGAGTCTGCTAAGATGAGTCGAGTAAAGCAACTGGCTTTCACGAAGGTCATTGGATGATTGCGATGACGATGATGGGAATGAATCGTCCAATGATTTTCTCCTGTTGCGTTGGAAGCCGGGCAAGGGTTTGGCGAAGTCTGATGGTTAGAAGGAAAAGTTCACCTCACAAACTTCTGGGGTTATGTCACCTGGGGATAAGGATGCAGCGGGTCCTCAGATTGGAGGGATGAGAGTTGCAGGTGCCTCACTTATGCCTGATGGGATTTTCTTGTTTGCTTTGGTCTGTGCTGGACCAATTCCTGGTATGAAGATTTTGGTTGTTTGGCCCACTCATTGACTTAGAGGGATTTCTTGCTTCACCTACCTTGGTCTCTTATTGTCGTATAAATGACTTGATTCATTTTTCAAACTCATCAGAAGTTGTCCAAGGTCGAGCTCCACACATCAACAATCAGTGGAGGGAGTCGACTGACTCTGTGGTTTTTCATATGGACGAGATGTTAGGTTTCTTTGCCAGTGAAGTTGAAGCTCGGAGGGAAGTTGAAGCCATATGAGAGACTAGCATAAAGGTACTGAAGGTGCAACTGGATCTCGTCTTCAATAAGCTATTGACCAAACTTCTCGAGCTCTAAGTGGAAGAAGCAGACCACTGGATCGAAACTGTGACCATCCAAATAGAGACTGTGAACCTATCGATGGACCTAAGTGTTGTAAGAGAGGTATGTCCGGTCAATTGATTCCAAGCTGAGGTCGATAGTGTCGATAGGTTTAAGTTAGGTATAGGTAGTTGAGGTGAGGATTAGTTTTGTCACGTTAACTATTTATAAAATTTTTCATGTCTAAATATATATATATATATTACTTGCAAGAACAGCCACAACAATTATATATATATATATATATATATACATACATGTTCTATGTATTATCGTTTTCTTATGTATGCAAATATTTGATTTTTTCTTTTTTATGACGTAACACATGATTGGTGTCCCGAGGTATGATCAGTGGTGTTTCAACTTCTGTTGGAGTCCTATATATAGGGTTAAGGCCACTTTTTGACTTTATTTCCCTCTCTCCACCCTTGGGTCTCTTCTTCTTCATTCTTCTGCTTAGTGCCTGCAGAACTTCCATATATTTGACCCAGGCATTTGGGACAGTGCCAGCGTCGGAACACTCCGTGCTATCTTCTGATGTAGCTTCGAGGCTCTAGTGGTAGTATATCTATGATGATTACATTGTGTTAGAGGACCTGTGCCCAAATGATGGGAGATTGAAGATTATGTAGGATGACTTGTGTTATATCAGATCAATTCGATCAAGGACTTTATCATCCCTTCTGTCGCGAGCTTCAAGCTATCATGAATCACTGTGGAGTTCTCTCAACTTAACTGAAGGCGAAAAACATTGTGGCGATCGTGACATCTGTCATTTACTTTCGCATGATGGGGATCTCTTGGTTGTGAGAACTCTTTTCTCTTGTGTTATCTTTCAGTGTCAACCCGGATGGCTACGTGAATTTTACTTTGAACAAAGTATGTAGTTAATCGACCTTGAAAATAAAGTCAAGAACATGAAACATAACTTTATTCTGGCATCAATAATGACTTGTGGAATCCTCACTCGTTCGTCTGGTGAACCATTTAAATGACAAAAAGATTTCTCTTTAGATATAAGGTTTGGCATCATTCATGGAGGAAAAGAGCCATTCCGAAGTTTAGTATACTTGTGAGGATATAAAAAATAGGGTTTTGAATTTGAGCAAGTTTGGTCAGATGACCAAGGAATTTTGGACTACGCTTGATGCTGAGGAGACAAAATAACACCTGAACAAAGCTGCCAAGGCCTCCACGAAGGAGCCGAGGGCAAGAAAACCATTAAGGGAAAGAGAAAAAAAAACTTTAAAAAATACCCCAGGTTCTGATCTCTTTATCGTTACTTTCGATTTGACCTTCATTGTTCAGCAGAGTTCGACTGGTGAATTAACATTAATTGAAAAAAAAAACATTCCCTTCTGACATATGAGTTAGGGGGCGATGACACTTAGACTTTTTCTATCCTAAGATCTGATGTTGATACCTCTTCAAATGAAGAATCGACTGGGGGTCAAGAGGATATTGGTCCGATGTGTCTGGCTTCATCGACCTCGTAGAGAGGAGAAAGTTAGTCGATTGTTTCTAGACCCTGAAGCCGGAGAGGAA